ATGAAGACCTCCCCAAGTCTCCCCGTCACCTCTCACGGTCCCGTAATACAACAATCCACACGAACCATTGTCATCGCTCCTCGCGTAGTATATGGGCACGTGTTGCATCCATATCTATATCTGCACATAAAAGCGTGTGCTAATCATTTATGCATGGCCATATTTAATTCCGGTGTCGCTGCACAGATCTGACGCAATTAGAGGTCATGGCCAGGAGCTGTTCGGATTACTGCCCCTCTGTAACGCCCTCCGCGTCTCTGCCTGATTATTTGTTTATCTCGTAATTATATTTTCCAAAGGAGCAGATCTCGTCATCGCCTCGTTCTATCGAGACCTCAATACGAACCCGCGGAAGTTCGCGATACGGAGCTGCATCTGAGCGCTCGGTCGCGTGCAATTGCCGCTTGCTCACACGCGTGGACGCACCTGCCACCGGAGATGTTTACGTGTACAATACGCAGGCGGTGAAGTTGCGCGGTGTTCAGATCGGCCTGGTTGCGCACGAAGTGCTCACGCAGTGGCACCAAATCGTGAACACCCCCCCCCCCCCGTCACGCGACCCGCGATCGAGGCGGTAGCCACGAAGGCAGCCACGCGCGGCGTTTTACGTCCTTCGAGATGAAATTTGAGCAAGTTAAATTAAACGTTCAACTTACCGCGGATGGGAATGTTTTGCGTGTGTAAGTATGTTGAACTTCTTTCGCGCCGTACGTAGCTAACCGTGCTAATCGGAGGTGCGAGGGGAAGAACAACAAACCAAACACACAAAAGCAGTACTAAACAAATAAAAATGAGTGGTCATTGGTGACCGGGCTGAGACGATCAACTCGCTGCATTCGAGTCATCACTCACTCTGAGCAAGCGTCAATGTAAGACTGTATGTCTCTATAGAAATCAATTGGTCTCTGTGTAAATGAATTGGTCTCCATATGAAACCCTGGATCTCTATGCGAGTCTGTAGTCACCTATGCACGCCTTTAGGCCTCTTTGTGAGTTTATGAGTGTCTGTAAGTCTATGAGTCTCTCATGTAATTATTTATGGATCTTTGTCTAAGTCAACGGATCTCTACGCAAGCCATCAGTGACTGGGGCTTAGAAGCATCCTCTTGCTGCTTGAGAACCCGGTTAAATCGCAGGCAGTGGCTGAAAGCCGGTTATGAATCCATTGTAGCTTAAAAGCGAATTGCTGGTTCATCAGCGGAGACGGCGTCTCACTGACACGGCCATTATGAACCCCCTTAAACTGACGGACACACTTTAAGCAATTACCTGTTTTATGTCTTTGATACAAGAATTGCAGCGGAGGCTATGTGTGCTTCGAAACCGCGGGCGCATTAGCAACCCCTAATGGGATTGTGTGCGCACGATCCTCTTAATCATTCAATTTCTCCGGTCAATGTCTCCCCCGTCTCTCCCTCTCTCGAGAGAGAGCTGCTCTCGTTGCCACCGTGACAATGGTCGCGAGATTAATGGCTCCGGCCAGGTAAGGCGGCGCGGCGTCATTTTGGATTTCATATTGTTATTCGCTTTGTTGTTGCTGTGTTTGCGTTAACCTTTATTGATCCGGGAGTTGAAATAAAGCCACTGAGACGCAAAACAACAACAACAACGCCTATTTTCAATAGCCACCTTGTGTATGGCCGGATTGAAATCAGCAGCAGCAGTCGCAATAGTCAGTCCGCTGCTGGATAAATATTTCTCCAAGCCGCTGCGGGATGAATATCATCGTTCAGGCCCAGATATGAAGCGGTCGGGTGGATTCCGAGGTCAGAGCGCTGACCCGGCACCGCTGAGACCGCGGGGATGAATTCGGAAATCAGCCGCTGCCTGGGAATAAATCAGGTTTCTCTCGAGGTGCGATTTGCAGCAGGTGCATCACCATTACTGCCACCACCACTGTCATCATCTTACTCATCATCAGAGCCATGTTATATCCCCTGCTGGATGAAGGCTTCCCCACGCTGTAGCCATCCCACGTGGTCTCCCACACGAGCTCGTCTCATCGCTAAATCTCCACGGTGGTCGTCCTCTCAAGCGCGATCTGTAATTCCCTTCCCTTTGGCTGCCATTCCGTCACCAGTCTCGATTATTGGCCACAATCCCGTCCAGATGTGCGCGATGCGTCCTGCTCAAGCAGTGGAATTCAGTTCTTGAAAAATAAAAAAATAAAAAAAACTATATATTTTTTTTACCGGCTAAGGCCCACCTGAGCTTTAGGGCTCTTTTTTCTCAGAAGCGACTTCGGCCACGAATGATGGGTCAACGAAGTGGCCTATCACCTGGAAAGTTATAGCAGCCAAATACTCGAAACGCACGTTGTTTATAAACGTGGAGGGGAAACAACCGGAGAACCCGGAGAAAAATCGACGCGACCACGGGGAGAACCGTGCATACTCCGAATACAGGGTGCTTCAAAAATATGTTAACACTTACATGTGACTATAGTTTTTAATGGAAAAAGAACGAATGGTACTACACTGTGATGTGATAACAAGTGTAATGTTAATAGCTTCAGAAAGTCAAATAGTCTCTCACTCGTTCGCCATCGTTGTCAACACGTGGCCTGGAATCTTCTCCACGTGGTCTCCGGAGCCCGGAGGCAGCAGCATATGTCACGTGGTGTTGTTGTTGCAAATTCTCAGAAGTGTTCACATTGTTTTTGAAGCACCCTGCACACAGGTATCATGGTCGGGATCGAACCCACGACCTCCCTGCATGCCAGGCGAGGTAGTTAACATCTCGCCACCGTGGCGTCCAAAAAAGCTCCCAGCACGTGGAGCGAAACCTCGGACATCATTGCAAAACGACACGTGGTACAACCCGATTAAACACCAGAGAATTACAGGGCACAACCAAGCCACATCCAGCCGTGACCACAAGTCTGTGTTGCTCGAAGAGTATACCCTCTTGGTTTGCATCCTAGCACGTGCGCTGCTGTCCTTTGGCGGCCATTCCTTCGCCAGTCTCGAGGATCAGCGACCAGCGTCCCTCCCGGCCGCGATACGTCATGCCAATGCCCACTCGCTTTTTTTATTTTCTCAACAGCCACAATCACGATGTCTCCGATGACTACGGCGTGTTCCCTGATCCACGTGCTGCTCTTTTGACTCTCTCTCTCTCCTTTCCTCCAAGCACCCCACCACCCACCACCCCTCCCATCTCCTTCATCTCTCTCGTCCACGCTGGTCGATAAGGCTGCACTCCACGGCTGGATCGATGCGTAATGGCCAACAACAGTCTTGTCTCAGTTGCAGGAACACGTTTTTTGCAATGTATTGTTCACATGCAGATGCTGTGAGGTCGATTACATCGCAGGTTTGAGAGGAGGTTATCATCCAGCAGTGGAGTGACCATGGCTGATTATATTGTTTGGTTAGCACACGTACGGTGCGAAAGAAGTTCAACATACATACACTGCGCTATGGACCTGGCGACCTGAATTCGATACCTGCCCACGGCTGACAACAGCGGCGAGCGACATCTGAACCAGTCATGGGGTTTCCTCTCCCCCATACCTCTTCACCAAACAGCACTGGACCAGCGTGGTGAAGTATGGTCACAACAACCCCTGTTGCCGACACGAGGGTTGACCGGCGCGCCGTGAGTTATCGACATCGTGTTTTCAACTCGGCCACACACCGAGTGAACTTGGGGACTCGAGTTAAAGTGTTTACGCACACAAAAAAATACTCTGTCTCTTAAGATTGCTTCCTATGGGACATTTGATTCATCCCATTGAGCCGACGGAAGCGCCTGCGGGTCACGGGTCAATGTGTCTCGCTCCACTCAATCACGCGTCACCGACGCAAGGGACAAGGTACAAGACAATCCATTAAGTGAGCCTCCCTTGATTGTCACTGTCTGTGTTTGTGCTTCATGTTCGAATGTGTTTTTTTTGTGAAATCAGAATTTTGGCTGTGACGTCATTGATCGAGTCCAAAACACAACAGCAACAACGAAACAATTCTGAACTTGGCTGAATTAGTTTTTTGTCGTGTCAAACCTAAAATCGGGAACTTCTCAATGGGCAACGCTAACAATGATAATAATGCGCGCACAGGCATTCCACCGCTGGATGAAATGATGCGAGAAAGAATGAAAACACACGAGCCTACATGGAGAAACAACCCCTCTTGGTTTTGCTGGCAACGTCAGCACGCGTGGGTCTGCGTTAGAGACCGCGGACGTTCGAGGAGACGGAGCGATGAAATCAGCTCGCGTGCAGGCGCCGGGTTTGATTACCCAATCGTGGCCCGAGCGTGAGAGGTGGCGATGTTCATCCAGCAGTGGATTGACCTACGGCGAATGATGATGACGATGGCTTTGCTGTGCCCAACCGATGGAAAATTAACAACAGAAAATGGTGCATTCATGACTGCAGCGTGGAAATTAATACAATGACGTCAGTGGTGATAATGACGTCATGTGTCAAACAATCCACTGCTGGATAACGCGCCCCCCTTCATGCTGTGTCGGGCGGGGGATATTTGACCATACTTCACCACGCTGGGCAGTGCGGGTTGGTGAATGCAGGTAAGGATAGTCGTATCAGAGGAGGGGGTGGGGGGGGAGTGCGTGGAGGTGGTGATGGTGGGTTGTGGTGATGGGGGTGCTGATGGTGTGGATTATGGGGTGCTGATGGGCGTGGGAGGAGGAAGAGTGGAGTCGGGGTGGTGATGGGAGTGATGGTGATGGGAGTCATGCGAGTGGCGGAGAAGACCGCCGGACGGCTAAAATGCAGCGAGTTGGCACAGTGGGGGGTACAGCTGGCTCATCCTACAGTCATGTCAGTCACCTGAGTCTGTCCCGAGACCTCCTGTCAGCGAACCTTCGACACTTCACGTGGTAGCCTCAAAGTGCACCTGGCCTGGCACAGGCACCGAGGTGACGTCGCCGTCACTGAGTGGCGGACAGCGGGGGTATTGGTGTTGGAGGGAGAGTGGAGTGGTGGTGGGGGTAGGGAGGGAGGAGGGAGCGGAGTGGCGGGAGTTGATAAAATCTCGACGCACCGCGCATTGCAACCACAATGCCCGACTCGTGCTGCGCACTGCACTGCGATATCCCTCAGCCACCACCAACAACAACCACAACCATCAACACAACAATACAACCGATAACAACCATCATCCACACCACCAACAACAACCATCAACAGATTGAACAACAACAATACCACCGCCACCACCACGGCGAACAACAAACCATCAAAGTAACCACAACCACAGCGAACACCGCTACTAACCACGGACGCACCACCTCCACCTGCTCCACTCAATGTGTGACCACGCTCACGCCGCCGCTGCAGTCGACCTCCACCCCTCCTCCTCCCCCAACTGGAGCCACACTCCACCGGGCGCTCCGCACAACGCGACCCGGACTCAGGGTTGCGACGGCGGTCGCGGAGGCGTCGGAGGAGGTTCGTGCGTTCAGGTCATGTACCCGGCCCTCATGATGGTGGCCGGCGTGACCGGCAACGCCATCGCCCTCGCACTGATCCGGCGCGCATACCCACGGCGGCAGAGCGCGCGCAAGAGACCCTTCCTCGTGCTCGTGGGAGCTCTCGTGCTCACCGACCTCCTGGGCAAACTCAGCACGGCTCCAGTCGTCATCGCCGCGTACGCGGGCGGCTCGTGGCACGCCCTGGACGCCTCGGGCCGCCTCTGCGACTACTTCGGCTTCTGCATGGTGGCATTCGGGCTGTGCCCGCTGCTCTTCGCGTGCGCCATGGCGCTGGAGCGCAACGTGGCCGTGCGGAGGCCGTACGCCTACAAGCAGTGGGTCACCACGCGCCTCGCCGCAGCGGTGGCGGCCACGGTGTGGGTGGCTGCCCTCGTCTTCTCTGCGCTGCCGCTCCTGGGTAAAGCCGCGTGGTTGTGGTGCTGTGGGTGGTGCTGTTGGTGGTGGTGGTGCTGTGGGTGGTGCTGTTGGTGGTGCTGTTGGTGGCGGTGGTGCTGTGGGTGGTGCTGTTGGTGGCGGTGTGGGTGGTGCTGTTGTTGGTGGTGCTGTGGGTGGTGCTGTTGGTGGTGCTGTTGGTGGTGGTGGTGCTGTGGGTGGTGCTGTTGTTGGTGGTGCTGTTTGTTGGTGGTGCTGTTGGTGGTGGTGCTGTGGGTGGTCCTGTTGGTGGTGCTGTTGGTGGTGGTGCTGTGGGTGGTGCTGTTGTTGGTGGTGCTGTTGGTGGTGGTGCTGTGGGTGGTGCTGTTGTTGGTGGTGCTGCTGTTGGTGGTGCTGTTTGTTGGTGGTGCTGTTGGTAGTGGTGCTGTGGGTGGTGCTGTTGTTGGTGGTGCTGTTTGTTTGTGGTGGTGCTGTTGGTGGTGCTGTTGTTGGTGGTGCTGTTGGTGGTGCTGTTGTTGGTGGTGGTGGTGCTGTTGGTGGTGGTGGTGCTGTTGTTGGTGGTGGTGCTGTTGTTGGTGGTGCTGTTGGTGGTGCTGTTGTTGGTGGTGGTGCTGTTGTTGGTGGTGTTGTTGTTGGTGGTGGTGCTGTTGTTGGTGGTGGCGGTGCTGTGGGTGGTGCTGTTGTTCGTGGTGCTGTTGGTGGTGCTGTTGTTGGTGTTGTTAGTGGTGGTGCTGTTGTTGGTGCTGTTGTTGGTGGTGTTGTTGGTGGTGGTGCTGTTGGTGGTGGTGGTGCTGTTATTGGTAGTGGTGCTGTTGTTGGTGGTATGGCGGAGAACGATCTCCCGATTCGCTGCGTTGGGTGGTGGAGGGTTTCTGACGACACACTTTCGGTGAGATCATTACGTGGCCTAACATCAACACATTAAATCAATCAAGTGTGTACCCTAATACGGGCCAGGGAAACCTCCAAATGAAGAGAACGTACAAGCAAGCACCTGTTACCCGCGAGACAACCGCTGTTGACTCCCCCACATTTATATCGACCGTTTGGGGATGACGGGCAGAGTCAATTTCACAACGGAGGAAGACAAATTACTCCTTCACGTAACCGCTCCTCCGCCGAACGCTCATTTTACTTCGCTACTTGTTCCACAAAAACGACGCCGGCGATTATTCCGCTTTGTTCATTCGACGAGGGGGTCCTCGCCTCCAGGCATCTGCAGTGCACCCTCATCGATCGGTTTCAAGCGAGCCTGACTGCCGATGCGACACTGAATGTTGGAAGTGGTCCAGAGGTGTTTTGTTGTTGTTCTGAGCCACTGCTTTGCCAAGGAAGAATTGCGCACCCAGACGAAAGCCGCGTGGCTGCTGGGGTGTCTATAGAACACTGCTGGGGTGTCTATAGAACACTGCTGGGATGTCTATAGAACACTGCTGGGATGTGTGTAGAACACTGCTGGGATGTGTGTAGAACACTGCTGGGATGTCTGTAGAATACTGCTGGGGTGTGTGTAGAATACTGCTGGGATGTCTATAGAACACTGCTGGGATGTGTGTAGAACACTGCTGGGATGTGTGTAGAACACTGCTGGGGTGTCTATAGAATACTGCTGGGGTGTCTATAGAACACTGCTGGGATGTGTGTAGAACACTGCTGGGATGTCTATAGAATACTGCTGGGGTGTCTATAGAACACTGCTGGGATGTGTGTAGAATACTGCTGGGATGTGTGTAGAACACTGCTGGGGTGTCTATAGAATACTGCTGGGGTGTCTATAGAACACTGCTGGGATGTGTGTAGAATACTGCTGGGGTGTGTGTAGAATACTGCTGGGATGTCTATAGAACACTGCTGGGATGTGTGTAGAACACTGCTGGGATGTGTGTAGAACACTGCTGGGGTGTCTATAGAATACTGCTGGGGTGTCTATAGAACACTGCTGGGATGTGTGTAGAACACTGCTGGGATGTCTATAGAACACTGCTGGGATGTGTGTAGAACACTGCTGGGATGTGTGTAGAACACTGCTGGGGTGTCTATAGAATACTGCTGGGGTGTGTGTAGAACACTGCTGGGATGTCTGTAGAACACTGCTGGGATGTCTATAGAACACTGCTGGGGTGTCTATAGAACACTGCTGGGATGTCTATAGAACACTGCTGGGGTGTCTATAGAATACTGCTGGGGTGTGTGTAGAACACTGCTGGGATGTCTATAGAACACTGCTGGGATGTCTATAGAACACTGCTGGGATGTGTGTAGAACACTGCTGGGATGTCTATAGAACACTGCTGGGATGTCTATAGAACACTGCTGGGATGTGTGTAGAACACTGCTGGGGTGTGTGTAGAATACTGCTGGGATGTCTATAGAACACTGCTGGGATGTCTATAGAATACTGCTGGGATGTGTGTAGAATACTGCTGGGGTGTCTATAGAACACTGCTGGGATGTGTGTAGAACACTGCTGGGGTGTCTATAGAATACTGCTGGGGTGTGTGTAGAATACTGCTGGGATGTCTGTAGAATACTGCTGGGATGTGTGTAGAACACTGCTGGGATGTCTATAGAACACTGCTGGGATGTCTATAGAACACTGCTGGGGTGTCTATAGAACACTGCTGGGATGTCTGTAGAATACTGCTGGGATGTCTATAGAACACTGCTGGGATGTCTATAGAACACTGCTGGGATGTCTATAGAACACTGCTGGGATGTGTAGAGAACACTGCTGGGGTGTGTATAGAATACTGCTGGGATGTCTGTAGAATACTGCTGGGATGTGTAGAGAACACTGCTGGGATGTCTATACAACACTGCTGGGATGTCTATAGAACACTGCTGGGATGTCTGTAGAACACTGCTGGGATGTCTATTGAATACTGCTGGGGTGTCTATAGAATACTGCTGGGATGTGTGTAGAACACTGCTGGGATGTCTATAGAACACTGCTGGGATGTGTGTAGAATACTGCTGTGATGTCTATAGAATACTGCTGGGATGTCTATAGAACACTGCTGGGATGTCTATAGAATACTGCTGGGATGTCTATAGAACACTGCTGGGGTGTCTATAGAATACTGCTGGGATGTGTGTAGAACACTGCTGGGATGTCTATAGAACACTGCTGGGGTGTCTATAGAATACTGCTGGGGTGTCTATAGAATACTGCTGGGGTGTCTATAGAATACTTCTGGGATGTCTATAGAACACTGCTGGGATGTGTGTAGAACACTGCTGGGATGTCTATAGAATACTGCTGGGATGTCTATAGAACACTGCTGGGATGTGTGTAGAACACTGCTGGGATGTCTATAGAATACTGCTGGGATGTCTATAGAACACTGCTGGGGTGTCTATAGAATACTGCTGGGATGTGTGTAGAACACTGCTGGGATGTCTATAGAACACTGCTGGGGTGTGTGTAGAACACTGCTGGGATGTCTATAGAACACTGCTGGGATGTCTATAGAACACTGCTGGGATGTGTGTAGAATACTGCTGGGATGTCTATAGAACACTGCTAGGGTGTGTGTAGAATACTGCTGGGATGTCTATAGAACACTGCTGGGATGTCTATAGAACACTGCTGGGGTGTCTATAGAACACTGCTGGTGTGTGTGTAGAACACTGCTGGGATGTGTGTAGAACACTGCTGGGATGTGTGTAGAATACTGTTGGGGTGTCTATAGAACACTGCTGGGATGTGTGTAGAATACTGCTGGGATGTGTGTAGAACACTGCTGGGATGTGTGTAGAATACTGCTGGGGTGTCTATAGAACACTGCTGGGATGTCTATAGAACACTGCTGGGATGTCTATAGAACACTGCTGGGGTGTCTATAGAACACTGCTGGGATGTGTGTAGAATACTGCTGGTGTGTGTGTAGAACACTGCTGGGATGTGTGTAGAATACTGCTGGGATGTCTATAGAACACTGCTGGGATGTATGTAGAATACTGCTGGGATGTGTGTAGAACACTGCTGGGATGTGGGTAGAACACTGCTGGGATGTCTATAGAATACTGCTGGGGTGTGTGTAGAACACTGCTGGGATGTCTGTAGAACACTGCTGGGGTTTGTGTAGAACACTGCTGGGATGTCTATAGAACACTGCTGGGATGTGTGTAGAACACTGCTGGGATGTCTATAGAACACTGCTGGGATGTCTATAGAATACTGCTGGGATGTCTATAGAACACTGCTGGGATGTGTGTAGAACACTGCTGGGATGTGTGTAGAACACTGCTGGGATGTCTATAGAACACTGCTGGGATGTGTGTAGAATACTGCTGGGATGTCTATAGAACACTGCTGGGATGTGTGTAGAACACTGCTGTGATGTGTGTAGAACACTGCTGGGATGTCTATAGAACACTGCTGGGATGTGTGTAGAACACTGCTGGGATGTCTATAGAACACTGCTGGGATGTGTGTAGAACACTGCTGTGATGTGTGTAGAACACTGCTGGGATGTCTATAGAACACTGCTGGGATGTGTGTAGAACACTGCTGGGATGTCTATAGAACACTGCTGGGATGTCTATAGAACACTGCTGGGATGTGTGTAGAACACTGCTGGGATGTGTGTAGAATCCTGCTGGGATGTGTATAGAATACTTAGCGGGGTTTCTTTGTTTTTTTGTGGAGGAACGGATAAGTCGTGGCAGGCGGCGAATTGCTATCCGGATTGATTTTTCCGAATAAAACAAAAATTATGCGAGGTGCGTAAACTCACAGAAAAAAAAACTAATAACGTGCTTTTAAAAATGGTCATTGCCCGAAACGTCTATTTTTTTTATTCCCCTTTTAGGGCCACCGTCTTAACATAATTTCACCAGTGGATCGACCATGGCTAGTAATGATTGTGGCAATATGACTGTTGGTTATGGCGTGGTAAAGCCATAATTGAGCAGCAGATCGATCATGACTCGTGCTGATAATGGTAGAGAAGCCTTCATCCAGCAGTTGCCACAACATGGCGAATAATGATGGTGGTGACGATGGTGATGGTGGCGATTGCAGTGATGGTGATGATGGTGGTGGTCATGGTCGTGGTGGTGGTGACGATGGCTTTGATTGTCTTGGTGGCGGTGACGACGGTGGTGGTGGTGGTGATGATTGCGATGTTGGCGATGTTGGTGATGGTCATGGTGGTGGTGGTCCCGTGCTGGTACGTGATGCTAGGCGTGGGCAGCTACGTGCTGCAGTGGCCTGACACGTGGTGCTTCCTGAGCACGGGCGCCCCCGGCTCGCTCGCGGCCGCCGCCGTGCCCCTCGCCTTCTCGCTCACGGGACTCTCCTCCCTGCTTGTCACCACGGCCTGCAATGCCTCCACGCTCACCTTCGTGGTCAAGTCGTGGATACAGCATCGTCGTCACCAGCAGCAGCAGCAGCAGAATCAGCAGCATAAGAAGACGCAGTGCGGAGGTCAGAGCTGCCTCGGGGGACCCAGGTCCGAGGCGGTCTTGCAGCTCATGGGGATCTCGACCGTGCTGTGGGCCTGTTGGGGGCCACTGCTGGTGAGTGCTCGGGGCGGGTGGGCAAGGTAGCGTGGTGGTGGTGCCGGTGGCGGCGGCGGTGGCGGTGATGCAGATATTCGGATGGATTAGTGCGGATCATGTTCTGTTCTTCTGGGTCGCCTACCTGGACGGACCCAGTTGAACCGAAGCCCCAGTCGCCCCGGTCACCCCGGTCACCCCGCTACTGGGGGAAGCTGACCCTGGCTACAACCAGCGGTCCAGTCGCTTCCTTGTCGTTCTTTCATCCGCTACCCACCGCAGTCACTTTCCGCGTGAACTTCACGCTCCCATGCCACCGCCAGCCATTTGCCAGGGACTCGTTCCCATCCGTTGTAGTGTTCACGTTCATCCGTGCAGTGTGCTCAGCCACTGCCGTGCATTGTCTTATGTATTCGTTATTTATTTACTAGTGTAATACAAACTAAATGTAAAGGAAAACAATTAAACATTGCATTGAATGTACTGGTATATATTTTTAGTTGCAAAAAAATCGAATATTCTCGTAACAAACTAATTAGCAAGTTACACTTTCAATATGAACCTTGCATGAAAAACTAACAAAAATATTTAAAATTGCACGAAAATCCACGTCGCCTACGTGTGGCTGATGGGCGGGGGGGGGGGCGAGTCAAGGGACGGACGAGGAGGAGGGAACGTGGCGTCGGCCCAGTTACCTTGCGAGTTAAACGCCTTGCAACGCGGAGTCAGCAAAGCGGTGCACATGCGCCAATTATAACAAGAACAACCCACACCCCATGCTCCACCCCCCCCCCCCCCCGCTATGAAGATGACCCATTGCCCAAAACGTCGTCCGATTATTGGCTTTGCATTAAAACACAGCGGCTCAGCAGCTGCTGTGTTTTAAAGAGGCACCCGTCAACAGCCCCTGCTCATCCTCTCGCGCCCCCTCCCCGCTCCCTGAGCATTCCTTGGGGGGATGGGGGGCATCTGAAGCTCTAATTGCGGTCAGCAGAGGTCTGAGTGGGGGGGGGGGGTGAGGGATGCGAGCCGAGCGCTCGCTGGGGACCGCGGCCTCGAAGCGAAGTGGAGAGCATCACTCCTCCTTATCCTCAACCATGTTCTCACATCACCACCTCCTCAATGTCTCACTGCTCCTCTTCGTCATCCTCCATGTGTCACATCACCACCTCCTCAATGTCTCACTGCTCCTCCTCCTCGTCATCCTCCATGTCTCACATCACCACCTCCTCAATGTCTCACTGCTCCTCCTCCTCGTCATCCTCCATGTCTCACATCACCACCTCCTCAATGTCTCACTGCTCCTCCTCCTCCTCGTCATCCTCCATGTCTCACATCACCACCTCCTCAATGTCTCACTGCTCCTCCTCGTCATCCTCCATGTCTCACATCACCACCTCCTCAATGTCTCACTGCTCCTCCTCCTCGTCATCCTCCATGTCTCACATCACCACCTCCTCAATGTCTCACTGCTCCTCCTCGTCATCCTCCATGTCTCACATCACCACCTCCTCAATGTCTCACTGCTCCTCCTCCTCCTCGTCATCCTCCATGTCTCACATCACCACCTCCTCAATGTCTCACTGCTCCTCCTCGTCATTCTCCATGTCTCACATCACCACCTCCTCAATGTCTCACTGCTCCTCCTCGTCATCCTCCATGTCTCACATCACCACCTCCTCAATGTCTCACTGCTCCTCCTCGTCATCCTCCATGTCTCACATCACCACCTCCTCAATGTCTCACTGCTCCTCCTCCTCGTCATCCTCCATGTCTCACATCACCACCTCCTCAATGTCTCACTGCTCCTCCTCCTCGTCATCCTCCATGTGTCACATCACCACCTCCTCAATGTCTCACTGCTCCTCCTCCTCGTCATCCTCCATGTCTCACATCACCACCTCCTCAATGTCTCACTGCTCCTCCTCGTCCTCCGCTGCCGCTGCAGGTGGTGATGACGGCCAAGTTGCTGTCTCCCCCGGGCGGCAAGGACCACTCCCCGCACCGCTGCGCCAAGGAGCTGTTGGCCGTGCGCCTCGCGTCTCTCAGCCAGATCCTCGACCCTTGGGTCTACATCCTCCTGCGCAGGGGGGCCCTGCTGCGGGGGACCGGCTCGGGGCTGTCCTGGAGGTTCAAGATGTGCGGACGCAGCGGCCGCGGGGACCGCGAGGGGACCCCCGAGGCGAGGTGCCCCCCAGCCCAGGAGGTCCCCCTGCGAGACACGCCGACTCCCCCAGAGGCCGGCGGGGGTCCCGGGGTGGCGAGCAAGGGCCACGTGGGGTCTGGGTGCGACGAGGACGAGGACTCGAAGGAGCTGATGACGCTGCCGGGACGGATCCTGTGAACGCGAAAGCAAAAGGTCCCGAGCGTAGCCTCGAGCAGACTCTCGGGGAAAGTGCTGTTGGCGAGCAGCGATGCCGCCGCACGCGTTCGATTTGCAGCGCGCCGCTATCAACATGGGTGACCAAATTTCCGACGAGTATTTTAGGTGCTCGCAAACAGCACTTGCTCCAACGGTCTGTAAACGCTTGACGTGGCTCTATGTGGTTTTTTGTGTGTGTGTGCCTGTCTGTGTTTGTGTGTGTTGGGGGGGGGGGGGGGGGGGGGGGGGTTGGAAACCTTGAAATACTGGGGGCTCAATGGGACTTTCCAATATCGTCGAAAAATATTCACCCCTCGTACCCTATTAGTGCACCTCATGTGCTTGCAGAGGCCCATTAAATCACAAAGAGACTCCTAGACATTAACGGTAACTGAGGCTCGCAGAGACGTTGCAAAGAGCACTCCACGATCGCACAAAGACAAAGATCCCCCGTATAGCCTTAGCAGAATATTGGGGAAAGTGCTGTTCGCGAGCACCTTTGAAGCACGGCACACGAGGAGGTGGGCGGCCAGCACCACGTCCCGCAGCCTTTGTGTTGACGTGTAAACATCTCCACGAGGCACTTATTTGAAGCTGAGTCGACCATGGGGGGGATGCCCAGGACTGATTCAAATAATCGTCACTGGCGTTGACCATGAGCAGGAATCAAACTGGGGTTGCCGGGGTTTGTAGCGCTAACCGCTATGCTATCGCTCCCCACGATAACAAACGCACATTAACATTCGCGTTCTCTAATAATAGTGTGGAACATAACTTGAGCGTCGAGCAAATCTAGGGGCGCCCTTGCAGTGCCACGAGTGAGTGAGCTAACATTAGAATCGCAATACTGTTACCAGGTTCAAAATAACATCTCCCCTCGACCACCTCATTAATGTGGCTAAGATGCGATCAGTGATGGAGAAACGCCTCTAAGTTGGTAGGCCTTATGTGGCCGAGGGTCGCGGGGCCGTGTGAGGCGAGGTCACGAGGCCGTGTGAGGCGAGGTCACGAGACCGTGTGAGGCGAGGTCACGAGGCCGTGTGAGGTGAAGTTTCTGGCCGTGTGAGGTGAAGTTTCTGGCCAGAGGTCGCGGGGCCATGTGAGGCGAGGTCACGAGGCCGTGTGAGGCGAGGTCACGAGGCCGTGTGAGGCGAGGTCACGAGGCCGTGTGAGGCGAGGTCACGAGGCCGTGTGAGGTGAAGTTTCTGGCCGTGTGAGGTGAAGTTTCTGGCCAGAGGTCGCGGGGCCATGTGAGGCGAGGTCACGAGGCCGTGTGAGGCGAGGTCACGAGACCATGTGAGGTGAAGTCTCTGGCCGTGTGAGGTGAAGTCACGGGGCCGTGTGAGGTGAAGTCTCTGGCCGTGTGAGGTGAAGTCTCTGGCCATGTGAGGCGAGGTCACGAGGCCGTGTGAGGCGAGGTCACGAGGCCATGTGAGGTGAAGTCTCTGGCCGTGTGAGGTGAAGTTTCTGGCCAGAGGTCGCGGGGCCGTGTGAGGTGAAGTCTCTGGCCGTGTGAGGTGAAGTCTCTGACCGTGTCACGAGGCCGTGTGAGGTGAAGTCTCTGGCCGTGTGAGGTGAAGTCTCTGGCCGTGTGAGGCGAGGTCACGGGGCCGTGTGAGGCGAGGTCACGGGGCCGTGTGAGGTGAAGTCTCTGGCCGTGTGAGATGAAGTCTCTGCCCGTGTGAGGCGAAGTCTTTGACCGTGTGAGGCGAAGTCTCTAGCCGTGTGAGGCGAAGTCTTTGGCCGTGTGAGGCGAGGTTCACGGGGACGTGTGAGGAGAAGTCTCTGGCCGTGTGAGGCGAAGTCTCTGGCCGTGTGAGGCGAAGTCTCTGGCCGTGTGAGGCGAAGTCTCTGGCCGTGTGAGACGAGGTCACGGGGCCGTGTGAGGTGAAGTCTCTGGCCGTGTGAGGCGAGGTCACGGGGCCGTGTGAGGCGAAGTCTCTAGCCGTGTGAGGCGAGGTCACGGGGCCGTGTGAGGTGAAGTCTCTGGCCGTGTGAGGTGAAGTCTCTGGCCGTGTGAGGCGAGGTCACGGGGCCGTGTGAGGCGAGGTCACGGGGCCGTGTGAGGCGAGGTCATGGGGCCGTGTGAGGTGAAGTTTCTGGCCAGAGGTCGCGGGGCCGTGTGAGGTGAAGTCTCTGGCTGTGTGAGGCGAAGTCTTGTGTGAGGCGAAGTCTCTGGCCGTGTGAGGCGAGGTCACGAGGCCATGTGAGGTGAAGTCTCTGGCCGTGTGAGGCGAGGTCACGAAGCCGTGTGAGGTGAAGTCTCTGGCCAGTGGTCACGGGGCCGTGTGAGGTGAAGTCTCTGGCCGTGTGAGGCGAGGTCACGGGGCCGTGTGAGGCGAGGTCACGGGGCCGTGTGAGGTGAAGTCTCTGGCCGTGTGAGGCAAAGTCTCTGGCCGTGTGAGGTGAAGTCTCTGGCCGTGTGAGATGAAGTCTCTGCCCGTGTGAGGCGAAGTCTTTGGCCGTGTGAGGCGAAGTCTCTAGCCGTGTGAGGCGAAGTCTTTGGCCGTGTGAGGCGAGGTCACGGGGCCGTGTGAGGAGAAGTCTCTGGCCGTGTGAGGCGAAGTCTCTGGCCGTGTGAGGCGAAGTCTCTGGCCGTGTGAGGCGAGGTCACGGGGCCGTGTGAGGTGAAGTCTCTGGCCGTGTGAGGCGAGGTCACGGGGCCGTGTGAGGAGAAGTCTCTAGCCGTGTGAGGCGAGGTCACGGGGCCGTGTGAGGTGAAGTCTCTGGCCGTGTGAGGTGAAGTCTCTGGCCGTGTGAGGCGAGGTCACGGGGCCGTGTGAGGCGAGGTCACGGGGCCGTGTGAGGCGAGGTCATGGGGCCGTGTGAGGTGAAGTCTCTGGCTGTGTGAGGTGAAGTCTCTGGCCGTGTGAGGTGAAGTCTCTGGCTGTGTGAGGTGAAGTCTCTGGCCGTGTGAGATGAAATCTCTGGCCGTGTGAGGTGAAGTCACGGACTATAGATTCCACAGCCGGGGGTTTACACGATCGTTGGTGTTCCCGAGAGATCTGTGGACAAGTTGGGCGCTTGCGCAGTGCAATGGGACGATGAAGGTTCATCCTCGACTCGTTTAAGCCGCAGTGTGACCAGCAGCTCGCCTTCAGACCTTCATTCGTGGTAGTATCAGCATCGAATGGCTTTAACTCGCCCTCCTTACAGAGCAGCAGTAGCAGAATTAAACTTCGTGCCCCGTCATGGCCTGCAGAATCAGTTTAATTTGAACACTATTATAAATGTTGATTTAAAGCTTTCGTGGCTGCAGAGATTCATATTCTTGGTTCTTCCTGTAAAGTCACGTAGAAGGGGAAACAATCAAATAATAAAAAATGTAAAACAATAAAATTGTATTTTAAATAATAAAATAACAATAAACAATAAAATAACATTTTATTGTTTCATACTTTCGTTATTTCATTGTTTCCCTTCCACGTGACTTTACCGAAAGAACCAAGGATATAATATTATTATACGTTAGTTTATCTCTTTTATTAAATCCTGCGTGACTTGAGCGGTGCCCAGCGTTGACAGATTTGAAGTTTGGCGTCACGGCCGCCTTGTGCGCGTCTCGTCACGTGGTGTGTTTGCTGCTCCGCGATAGGGCCACGCAGACACGGGCTTCTCAAGTTGCAGCTGGGTGCCGTCTATATAATAATAATCATGATACTTGTGATAATAATAATCATTATCATAGAGAGGACGACTCGGAGGCGCGAGGAGGAACCACAGATGAGCGGGAAGGTAGCACAAAGTACGCGGCGCTGCCAACAATTGCCCGAGCTCTGCGGTCTTCTGTTTATGAATGTATGTATGTTGAACTTCTTTCGCACCGTACGTAGCCAAACGTGCCAATCGGAGGTGCGAAACGGTGTCACCGGCAAAATGAATGAGTGTTTACACGTGGGATTAAGCCAGAGCCGCCGAAGAAAACGCACGCGTGCGATGGGGAAAACACTCCAATCCCATACAAGCGACAAATCGCACGGTGATCCACCAACACCACCACCCCCCCCCCCTCCCCCAGGTGCCTCCACAGTGTACCGAAGGATCGTAGACATCCACGTGGATATGTTGACGACGAAAAGCGACATTGTGCGATGCACGAGGTTGGCCCAAATCTCCACTTTTCCGGCGTCCTCTTCAACATTCATGAATACAACCTTTGTCTATGTAATTGAATCTGTTTGAATCAGAGTGTATGTGTATATCTCTGGCCGTGTGAGGTGAAGTCTCTGGCCGTGTGAGGTGAAGTCTCTGGCTGTGTGAGGTGAAGTCTCTGGCCGTGTGAGGTGAAGTCTCTGGCTGTGTGAGGCGAAGTCTCTGGCCATGTGAGGTGAAGTCTCTGGTCGTGTGAGGCGAGGTCACGGGGCCGTGTGAGGCGAGGTCACGGGGCCGTGTGAGGCGAGGTCACGGGGCCGTGTGAGACGAGGTCACGGGCTATAGATTCCACAGCCCGGGGTTTACACGATCGTTGGTGTTCCCGAGAGATCTGTGGACAAGTTGGGCGCTTGTGCAGTGCAATGGGACGATGAAGGTTCATCCTCGACTCGTTTAAGCCGCAGTGTGACCAGCAGCTCGCCTTCAGACCTTCATTCGTGGTAGTATCAGCATCGAATGGCTTTAACTCGCCCTCCTTACAGAGCAGCAGTAGCAGAATTAAACTTCGTGCCCCGTCATGGCCTGCAGAATCAATTTATTTGAACACTATTATAAATGTTGATTTAAAGCTTTCGTGGCTGCAGAGATTCATATTCTTGGTTCTTTCTGTAAAGTCACGTAGAAGGGGAAACAATAAAATAATAAAAATGTAAAACAATAAAATAGTATTTTAAAAAAATACAATAACAATAAAATAACATTTTATTGTTTCATACTTTCGTTATTTCATTGTTTCCCTTCCACGTGACTTTACCGAAAGAACCAAGGATATAATATTATTATACGTTAGTTTATCTCTTTTATTAAATCCTGCGTGACTTGAGCGGTGCCCAGCGTTGACAGATTTGAAGTTTGGCGTCACGGCCGCCTTGTGCGCGTCTCGTCACGTGGTGTGTTTGCTGCTCCGCGATAGGGCCACGCAGACACGGGCTTCTCAAGTTGCAGCTGGGTGCCGTCTATATAATAATAATCATGATACTTGTGATAATAATAATCATTATCATAGAGAGGACGACTCGGAGGCGCGAGGAGGAACCACAGATGAGCGGGAAGGTAGCACAAAGTACGCGGCGCTGCCAATAA